GCTGAGCTTGACGACAATGAGCTAGCAGACGATGCTGAGCTAGATGACGCTGAGCTGGCAGACGACGAGCTGGCGGATGACGCTGAGCTTGACGACAATGAGCTAGTAGACGATGCTGAGCTTGAGGACGATGAGCTAGCAGATGATGCTGAGCTGGCAGACGATACTGTGCTAGTGTATGTGCTAGATGCGGTAGACAGACTGCCTGTTGACAAAGTCGTGCTTGTCGATGGGTTGCCTGTGGATGATTCTGTACTTGTTGAAGAACCTGGAACCGTTGACGTTGAAGAGCTGAGCCCAGTGGATGTGGAAGTTTCTGTACCAGAAGAAGAGCCATTCCTAGTGGAAGTGGATGCTGTACCAGTGGACGAGCTTGTACTGACGGGCAAGCCTGTGCTGGTAGACGAAATTTCCGCAGACGTTGAAGACGCGACGGTTGTGCTTGACGAGGCCTCCGTTGTTGACCGAGAGGTGGTTGTTTCATCAGAAGACGAGGTGGACGAACCTCCTTCGGAAGACGACGCCGTCGTTGAAATCGTTGGGCCGCCGCTAGTGGTAGATGTAAGTCCCTCCGAGCTCGAAACACTAGAAGTGGGCAATGCTGATTGGGTAGTACTGGTCGAACCGGACTCCGAGGTGGTAGGAGACTGCGTCGCAGTCGAAGAGCCGGTGTCGGATGATAACGATGAGGTACTGCTAGAAGGGCTTGAGGTCGTTGACCCGGTTGTCGGACCAATGGAGCCACTCGAGCCTGAAGTAGATGTCCCTCCACCGGCGGTAGTCGAAACAGCGGGCGTAGACGAGGTGGTCGATCCAGTCGTGTCAGAAGTAGACGAGCCTGGTGTAGAGGTCGAACCACCAGACGCTGAAGATATCGAAGTTACGCTGGTGGATGCCGTCCCAAGGCTTGACGTTGAAGTCCCTGTAACGATCGACGTGGGCGTGGCAGATGTGGTGCTGGTTGTTGCTGGATCTAGCAAATGTAAGCTATGCAGAGCTTTATCACGTCCATCGTTCACTTACTGGTTGGAATAATGTTGATCGGATTGTCGCAGATATCCGAGTCAGTATAAGCGTAGACGAAGCCATTGTCGAAACAGAATCCTGCGGTGTTTCGCAAATGTGCAAAAATGCCGATGATGTCCCATACGGCAAACCCTCTGGGAAAGTCCAAGAAGCGCTGAACAATCGACCTAGTAAGCGTTGCAGTGCCAAGGTATCGGTTATCCGAGAAAAATGTGGTGTTGTCGCTGCCTTTGAAGACCTGGGCGGCCTCAGAGATGCCTTCCACTGCAATGGCATAGTTACTTGAGTCAAATCCCACATACCGGACGACCGTTTGCCGCGGGGTTAGGCCAGTAACAGGGGTGCCGCTGATCTGGAGATAAAAACCTGATCCGCTGGGAACGATGCTGGTCGTAGACGCGGTGCTCGTAGCTGTAAAGCTGCTGGTGACAGATGTGGCCCCAGATCCACTAGTACTTATCGATGAGGACAAGGACGATGAACCACTAGAGATTGCATTTGTGGACGTGGAAGGCGCCGAAGTGCTGGCCGTAATACTATGTGATGTTGTGGAACGCGAGGTACTGGTGCTGGTACTTCTGGATGACGTGGTTAATCCACTGATCGGGCCAGAAGTCACTGTGGTAGATGAAGATTGCGAGCTGCCGGTGCTGCTACCTCTGGACGATGATGTTGACGATCCGCCAATCGGGCCGGAAGTCACCGCAGATGTTGACGTGGTCACGTGGATGGCGGAGCTAGTCGAAGAGACGACAATCGAAGTCGATATCCAGTCTTCCCAGACGTTGTCACCAGTGTGACTTGTCCAGCTTGCATCTCCCCCAGGTAATGGCCACCATCCATTTTCATTGTTACCACCGCCTAGATGCGATCCTGGTCCGGTTGGAATGGGGACACTCCAAGAACTTCCTGCTGAGCTAGTCGTGGGGGGGATCTCGAAAACGAAGACCTTGGTGACGAAGATCTCGAAGTTGAAAGTCGTTGGGCCATCAAAGGACTTCGTTATGTATGCATTCCATGGTCGGCCTGGGATAACTTGAACCCTCGCTTGGGTCGTAATCTTTGGTCGGCCGCTGTCAACCGTTACAGTAACCGTAACTGGAGGCTTTGTAACTGTCACCGAGGGAGCAGCCTGAGGGAAAGTCCAAGTGTAGACACCGGCCTGTGGAACCGTTCCTGTACTTGAACAAGGCGCTTCAGCATGAACAGTACTTGGAGGCTGTGCGATCCAAACCTCTTGCCACTCAAGACATCTCTGGTATGGTTGTCCCGACTTAGTCCCAAGTCGACATTCAGTCACGGCCAAGAGTTGAGAAAGAGTACCATTGTTCTGCACGCATTTTTTGCATAGTCCGCTGCCGTTCCAACCAGGTATCGCGAGTGGTCCAATAGCGTCGTATGGCGCTATAGCTCGACGGCTGACCGTTTCGTAAGATGTGACTTTCTTAGTCGCTGACGGCTGTTGTTTGAACCAGTCAATCCAGGCGGCTTTGTCGAGATAAGGAGCGGACGTCACATGAGTGAGGGTTTCGAGGTGCTCTGAGGCCCTGACAGCCTGCTTGACCTGAGTCACCGTGGTAGTCTGAGTCGTTGTGCCGTTCCAGGCGCAGGGAATAACAGTAGACACATATGGATATGTCGTGAATGGGTAGATCGTCGAGCATTTACCCTTGATACAAGCGGTCGTGGCTTGACAGGTCGACACAGGTTGATATTGAGTGGTTACCGTAATGGCAGGCAGGCTAAGGCTCGGAGCACTTGGGCAAGGCTCGATTATGGTGAGAGTCTTTGAAAAGACTTTATCGGAGGCAAAGAGTGCCACGGCTGCGAAGAGCAGCCCTCCCGGCAACTTCATGATCGAAGATAGATAACTTGGAAAATGGTTGAAGGATGGGGGAAGGAGGAGAGGGTATGGGCGTGTTCCGACTCACACTTTATACTCCAGATCAGCTCACAGGAAGAGTGTTAAACTCCTTCCTGAGCGAGTATAATAACAACAATCACACTATGACCTCCGTGAAATTAGAACATTGCCTTCACATTCGTTTGTCAATACTTTGATGCTGTAAAAATGGGTCCACTGTAGTCAATACAGACTGATGCACGTCTCTATGAGATTAAAAGACAACAGCAGAAAGCTATCAGCTCTATCCCTGAGATTGTTCGAATGGCCAGGACTAGACCGAGTTGTCACTTGACAGTGCCAACATAGGCAATCATCGTCCAACCAGCACGTAAGGTACAACACCCATTGTGAAGATGGAGCCCTCACAGCACTTGCCGTCGTCGCGACGCTTGGGCGAGAACGAGCCCTGTGTGAAGCGAACCACGCCACATCTGTCCAGTGCAAGGGGTGCATCCAGGCCGTCAACAATAGGCATAGTTTCTGATTGAACGCTTCGAACAGTGTAGAGATGGAGTGTTCGCGAAAGCACAAGCCTCAGCAGAGATTGTTATGCAGAAGCAAGTTAAGCCGTGAACTGGAGAAGATGCTCTGGATAGAAATAGGAGGACATGGGCCACCAAGTGGTGCCTTGGGCGAGGAAAGGGAGCACTCCCTCGACCTATGGAGGTCTGGATAATGAGACTTTTCGTGGCTTGGATTAAATTTCGTAGATGGTGGTGCCAAAATTTCGGATGGGTGTGAGTGGCCTCGGAGGAACCAGGTCTTTACAAGCTTCGCCCCTTGTACTTGTCCATTAGGCCGTGCAGTCCTCATGAAAAAGTCAGCAACGTCTCGCAGGAATGGAAATCAAGCCGAGCAAGCAACACAAAGAACTGTGCAAGAGGGGAAGAAGAAGTATGAGCTGATTGCCAGGCACCTGCCCACGACTAACGAGTAGACTTCGCCTTGGAGAGTAATTCGATTTCTCAAAGCGAGCAATGTCAGGGAACAGCAAAACGAATGCAATCAATCCAACGGGCGGCACTTCCCGAAACATGCACGCTGATTGAGGGGTTGGTTGGAAATGTCTCCTGGTGTCAAAAAAAAGCCTTGGGATGACATCCGGCCACCTGCTTGCGAAGTTTGTGATAGTCGTTTGTTGCTTTGATGTAAGTGGGCCGTGCAGTTCGTTGGTTAGATCTTCTGAACAGGCATCGTGTGCAAGTCGACAAAGGACGTAGGATCTCCTCCAAGTGTGTAAGAAACCGAAATCGACTCTAAAGAGACCTAAGAAACACTTCTGAGTGATCTTGGGTGTTGAATCGACGAAAGCCGGGGATGAAGGCAGCGGTAAGGAAGACCACTGGAAAAATGACTCGTAGAGGTAGAATCGACGCGGAAGCTGCAGGGGGTAAAAGTCCATCTGGTATTGAAGAAACATCGCAGACCTTTCATTCCGACAGGACCGTGCCTTGCCATATTGATGACCCTGCATCAACCTAGCTTTGGGGGTAGCGGTTGGTCCATCTCACGAGGGAGTGATCGACAATTGAGCTAACCTCCTATCTCAAAACATCATATATGGGAAAAGAGTCCTGTTTCCATCACTGGTCGATTTCAGTGCGCTTGACACACCTGAGATTCAAAACAGGAGTCTAGGATCATTCAGACCGTCCTTGACGCCATCCGTATGAAGGGCGATCTGCGTTGGAGACCCCAGGACGTATAGATCTACACGCTCTGCGATGGTCAAACCACGCGAGATCAATCGTCAGGACTAGTTTGTTCAACAGTGAGATCGATCTGTACCCACGCGAAAGTCGTTTTCTTTCTGTGATCAGCAAGTCGATCGAGCTGATTCACACCTCCGTGATCTGCTCAAAGCCCGGAAGACCATAGGATGTCCGGAAGATGTCAACATCCGACTTTACGTCAAAATAGCCGAGCACCCTCAAAAGGTCAATATTTGGAGAGATGAGAGGTTTTGGAAGGCATGTTGAGGCGTCCGTCAGCGTTGGCGAAACTCTATTCTGGTGGCCTGCATAACCATAGCTTACTTGCGAAGCTGCCCACGGCCTTCTGTAGATCGCCCCTCCTGTCAGGCTATAATTGCTGGAGAGGCTGAGACTGACAGCTTGGACCAAGCTTCGCAACACGCACCCTTCTCCTTATCAGTCATAGCTTTTGCTGATCCTGTATGTGTAGGTTTTTCCAACGACTATGGACAGCGGTCGTCAATTCATCGCTTGGTAAACCTCCATCATCAGAATCTTATCTTCTACAGGACTTCAGTATGTCCGAAGAATGAAATCAAGCTGTAGCGAATATTTGATAATTCATAGATTCCACCCCATTCCTGCATGTCATGGCAGCCGATCTTGAGGCTTTCCTTGTTGACTAGCCGGCTCCAATTGTAGAAAGTATAAACTGACAGGCCACGTCGACCTACCATAGTTTCAGTCTCAGCTGCTAATCAGTACTGTATGCCTCCGTCAAAATCATTTTCAACCTCATTCTCTTTCCAAAATTCATTCTCGGTGGTTGGCATATGGACGCATTGCTGTCTACAAAGCGTGTCAATCAGGTCAGTTCCACTCAAGCTCACTGCGGAGCAAAACACTCTCTCAGACATAGTGTAAGTACATTTGTCGTGACAATGAGCGACTGTGAGTCCCATGCCCTGTTTGCAAGCGATTTTTGATATGCTAGCTTGCAAAACACCGGTTGCGTTAGGCCAGAGGCCAGATCACTGCCGTAAGAGAGATAATGGGCTTGGGAGAGCTGCAAAAGACATAGATGGACGACATATCGGATGAGTCTCATGCTGGAAGAGTACAATGGAATCGTTGTCTATGTACAGAGAGAAAATAAACGAAGACGTGGAAGTAGGTTGCAAACTTGTTTACCTGCAAGTACCTGTTGTAGGAGAAGATGAGATGATTAGAGAATAGTCGGAAGAGATCTTATAAAGACTTGGTGAGAAAGTTGGTTCTAAATTCTGGTCGTCGAAAAAGATAGGATAAACAAACCAATACAGAGATCCCTGGCTTATAAGTCACGACATACTGAGGTAGAACAAATAGTAGAGGGGTGAACGCTCATATACCCATTCGATAGGGTCGAGACTTTGACCATCACCGACGGTCAGTCACAAGGTAGAGATCCAGATCAGAGTTCGTTGGATGATACTGAAGCGAAGAAAGTGTCATCTGATGGTACCTTGACACATTTCAAAGGCAAAATCCAACGGGAGCTTTTCTATTGAGGGATGGAAAACGAGCTTAGGGTAAGGAGATTTGGCGAAATTGTACTATAATTTCCATGTCTTTCTAAGGCAAACATAACCTCCCATAAGAGATCACTCTGCATTAGTAGTTCAGAGTTCCTCCCCCAAATAATACTGTGCTACGAACACGAACAGGCATATCAATGGTTGACCGCTTGCAATAAAATCCTGCAGAGGTGATGAAGTTTAATGTTATGCCCAAATTCTGCTGGACGAAGCCATACGAAAACGGTTCTATCATGGCTAGAACGGACTGAAATCGTTGCAACGTGGTGACACATCTCTGGTACCCTTGTTACCATCCATTTCATCCAGGGTGATCAATGGTAGACTACAGGAAAGGGCACACAATCCAAGACAGGCAAGTGGGAAGAAACGAAGATAGGATAGGAAGCAAATTCAGCTCATTTGTTGCGTGGACCCGGGCGCAGAGCAACGTCAATATTGTCGTCTCTTTTTGAATACGCAGCCAACGTCCCTTTTCAAGCGCGTCCAATGTCGTGGGACTCATAACGATAAATACAAAGCCGTATACTTTCCCTGATATTCTACTGGAGAAGACTTTTGGGCTCGAAACAAACCATACGCTCATTTATGCTCACAGTCAGATATAACATTTCCATTTTATGCTCAAGCCTTACAGTAGCTTGACTTGACACCTTGGGTTTTTCTTGACGAAACAAAAGCTAGAGCGTAACAGATGGCTGAAGTGGTCTCAGTCGGAGAAGTGCCTTTATCAAAACACAGTCCAGAACCAAAGGCTTCTTGAACTCGTGGGCCCTCTACTTATGATGAGCTTCATTTCTATATAAGAAATCGAGCCTGATTTCACCCAGCGACAAGGGGTTCCAAGCACAGGGGACAAGTATGCCTCGTGCGAATGCTTTCCGAGTGGGGAACGACACCGTTGTACCAGTGACGAGAAAGATTGCCAAAGGCGAGCTCCGATGAGTAGATGGTCTCGCTGGGGGAGTCAACGAGAGGCCATGGCGCAAACAGCCGTGTGCTTGACACACCTCTGTTTTGTTAGCGATATGAAAGAATTCTGCAAGTCAAGTTACTCCTGACTATCACTCCAATGATCCAGACCAAAAGAGGCTTCGGACCCGAGAACCGTACACTGATTTGTACCTCTAACGTAAACACATATCGTGCCTAAGTAGAACATTCAGAGAAAGAATATTATTCACGCCAAATTTCAGTTTTCACGTCATCAGACCTAGGGTTACTGTCCACTCTGGCAAATACTCGTAATGTCGTTGCGTTTTGAAGTGTTCGTCCATTTGGCGGGATCTTTGTAGTCCCGAGCATCTGAACCACACGGCAAAGCAGAATCGGCATGGGGGCTGATCCCCATTCAGCCCGCCAAAAGTAGGTCGGCGAATCTCCCGAAAGACGTCACATTCTGACTCTGGCGAGCTGAAAAGAAGCAGTACTGTACATTCCCTCGAGTGGAAACGAGTTCCCGCGAGAGCAAACCCATGTTGTGATTGACGTAAAAGCTCGCATGCTGAAGGCAATGTAATGATGTTTGACAACCTTCACGGAGCGCCACCGTCATTAGATACCCCGGTCACGACCAGGGCGAGCATTTTACCACTCGCTCATCCCCGCACTGCCAAGGGTTAAGCTGAGGATTGTACTGTTATAGAAAAGTCGAGACGAGTTAAGACTCATTGAAGGT